GGAGCAGTAGCAGCAGCTGGGAGGGTAACCACAACCGATGATGGCGTCAGAGCAACAGCTGATAATCTATCGGATCGTCTGTTTTATACTGTTTTTTGGAGCTGCCAATGCACAAAATCCAGAAAAAGGTTTGCATTTGAGATTAATTAATTGCATGCGATGGCAGTTATTCATCCAGAAAAAGTGGCTGGCTCACATCTGACGCTGCTCGCTTAATTTTTATTGATGTACTCCTAAAAACAAAGTTTCCTGGACAGTCGGTGCGGGGATCTCATGTCAATGATGTTACTGGGATGCTACTATAAGCTGAGTGAAGCTATGTTCAGTCCTTCGATCCTGAAGTTCACACTTCTAGTAAGCACCTACCGTCTTTTCGAACATAAGTACCTTCGCAAACATCGCACACGACTTCGCAAATATGTACGTTTGTGTGTGTGTGAGTGTTTGTGTGTGTGTGTGTGTGTGTGTATGTGTGTGTAAGCAAGTACTTGTAGTGCTCCTAATTACGCGAGAAATATAAATGAATCTGTTGAACATATTAAGATAGAGGTATAGGAATTACAAGTCATATACATAAAAGGGCATATTGCGAGAAACAATCTGTGTCTCATCCCTTAGCTGTAAATCTTTTAGGATTTGGTTAGAAATATTAAAACAGCAAATTACATCCCAAAACTTTTCCATCGGCAATTCTGGACAGGTTTTGTCATGCATGCGAATGCTCAAGGATGTGAATTTCCTCGATTTTCAGCGCACAATGATCTCATTATTATTGGATATTCCTGGGAGCAACTTAACACGGATATGCAAATTCGTGAATTCCTTCATTCGACTGCTTTTCAGTTCGAAAGTAACACTTCACGTTGTAATTTCTATGCTACACCCTTTACACTCAAAATGTTTAGCCGATGCCGTGTTGTAATTTGAGATGATGCAAAGTCAAATTCTGAGCTTCCGTTTATACTTTACGTAGACTCCCTGCTTTGCTCTGAGTGAATGAGGCCAAGCCAAACAAGTAATTTATATGACACAACCCTCCTCTTTCTCCTCTTCCCTCCCCTTCCCCTGTCATGTCATGTAAACTTACTGCTTGAGTATCGCAAACCACCGAGAATAAGACTTTTTTTAGTGATATCTGAAATACCTCCCACTGCAAAACCACTGAGAAAAAGATTTCACACAACTAAACATGGCGCTGAGCTTAACCCTTCCAAGAGGAAGGAGAAACAACGAATTTTTAGCTAATTTTTAACTAGTCAAATAAACATTCCAGCAGCTCATTTTACTTTAAACACGAAATGTAAGTCAAAAAAAAGGGCTGAAAGCTAAGTCATAAAATTCACTCACACGTACAAAGGTACCAATACTGATCAAAACTCTTT